TCGAGCTGCGACCGCGGCCGCGTCCAGCACCGCGCCCAGCACCGCGCCCGCGGCCACTTGACTGCTGAGCACGCCGACGGCGAACATCCTCGTCGTCGCTGCCCTGCTTCGAGTCGTCGTCGCTCTCGTAGCCCATGTTCTCGAAGTTGGCTGTGTGGCAGTATTTCAACACTGGAATGTACAAGGGAGCTGCATGATCGAACGCTTGGGACACCTACGCTTCTGATATGCACGGTGAGCTACGTGAACACCGTTGCAATCATTGAGCTTGACAAAACTGAGCCATCACACGCGAATCGCATCGACAATGCGCGTGTCGAGAACGAGCATTGCAACCATCTGAAACGCACACCTTTCGAGCATGCACGGTCGCGCTAACAGTTAAACAGTGCGGTAGCATTGTTCAAATGTTAGCGTTCGTCACGCCATACCAAGGAGGGAGCAACGCCTAGCACATCACATAACGTGTTCTGGGACAGCGCCATACAGGATTCAAAGCACCGCGGCACTTGATCGACGAAGGACGATGGTAAGAGGAGGGTGGCAAAACGCAGTCCGTGACCCAACTGGACCTGCTTGCCTTTCTTCAAGGCCTTGGACAAGAAGTCGAACTCCATGCCCTCGATCGCCTTCTGGCCAGTCACCTCGCGCCGCTTGCCCCGCGCCAGCTCCTTGGTATGCTCGTCCGAAATGTCGAGGTGCAGCTTCCGCTTGGGGTTCAGCGGGTTCTTCTTGGACTGGGAAGGCCGCCGCCCGATCGTTGTTAGACACCCCCTCCCCCAGACCACGACGGCTCGACACATCCCCAGCGTTCAACGGAACATTGCAAGTGAACGCATGCAGCATTCGCGCATGAACCATGCACGTGCGTTTACAATTGACGATTCTGCGCGCCGTTTCGACGTGGCTGGGGGAGGGCGGGGAGGACAGGGTGGTGGATTGAGGATGGGGGGGGGGGGGGGGGGGGGGCAGGATGGGAGAGGGGGGAGCGGACGGATTGGAAGGAAGGCGCCATCTCAACAGTTCGACCACCCTGGCGTTTCGGCCACTCCCCACCAGCCTCGAACTTATCCCTACCCCTGAGATTGACACACCAAACGACGATGCCAATCTTAGGGATGCACCCTCAGAAACTGAGGGAATCCCTAAGGTCGCTATCGTGATGAGGCGATGCCGAACATAGGGATAGGGATATGTTCCAGGCTGGTAAACTCCGATGCGTCGGCATCCCACGACAATCCGACGTGCATTCCCGAATGCGATCTCACCATGAGCGTGCCGTTCTCCATCATCTCCTCGGCCTCCTCCGCGCCGTACTTGTCGATGAAGAACTTCTTCGGCTGCCACTTGGAGGTCTGCTTCGCGCCCTCCGTCAGGCCGACGGACGTGACCACGTTCCAGAATGTGTTTTTCATCTCGGGGTCCTGCAGATGTTTGAGCAGCGCACGGTTTCCTCCTCCTCCTCCTCCTCCTCCTCCTCCTCCGTGAGTTGTCACATGGGCACGAAAACATGCCTTGTCCATTTACCACCTTGCAGCGAGCATGTACATGCTCATTCGGGACAACGGCACTGATGTCTGCATCATGTAATATGGCCCTCTCTCCTCCCCCAGCACAACGCTACAACAAGTGAACACAAAACGGGTTTCCTTGATCCAACCCATCAAGAGCTTCTGCTTCGCCAATGTCTTGGCCCCGTCCTTCCGCTTCTCCGCCTGGCTTGCCAAATCAGCCGCCCCGTTGGTAGCTAGATCACGCATGGCACGCACCTGCCTTGCATAATGACAGCCGCCAGCTTGGACGAGAGGACGCTGCATGCCAAATGGACATGCACGTTGCAACCGCCATCCCTAAACACCTACCCTGGCGTCACGCCGAAACAGCCTTACACTCGCGGGCATAATCAACAGAACCGCTCGGTGCACATGCATTCGTTGGGAGGGGCGTCGAAACGTGTGAGGGGTGTGCCGAAATTTACCCGAGTGCGCATGCAGACGGTGTCATTGGGGCATTCGGTGGAGCTCCATGGCGGCCCACGAAAAGTGTGAGGGGTGCACCGAAATGGACCCGATCACGTATGTTGGCCCTTCGAATGGGGCCTTCGGTGGGGTTCCCTATGGGGCCACGAAGGGTGTGAGAGGCACGCCGAAATGGGCCGAGAACGCATGCGGGCCTTGCCACTGGTCTCTTCGATGGAGCCCCCTAAGGGGCGACGAACCGTGCGGGGGGTGTGCCGAATTGGACCCGAGTGCGCATGCGGGCTTTGCCATTGCGGCCTTCGGTGGGGTCCCCATAAGGGGTCACGCAACGCGTGGGGTGTGTGTGCTGACATGAACCCAAGCGTGCATGCGGGCCTTGCCACTTGGGCCTTCGGTGGGGCCCGTATGGGGCCACGAAGCGTGTGAGGGGTGTGCCGAAATGGACCCGAGCACGCATGCGGGCCCTGCCATTGGGGCTTTCGGTGGAGCCCCCTCGGGCCACGAAACGTGTGCGGGGTGTGCTGAAATTTAACATGGTACGCACTTGGTCCATGTCACTTGGGCTTTCGGTGGAGCTCCCGACGGGGCCACGAAGACCGCGGGTGAGGAAGAGGAAAGGAGGGAGGGGGAGCAGGGGGAGGAGGAGCGGAAGAGATGCGCGGCGCTGCCAATTAAAAATGAGGACCCACCTCACAGGAGGCTTGGGAAGAAGGACCCAACCCACTGGATGGGTTGGGAAAGAGGAGGGAAGACAACGAGGGGGAGAAGGATGATGAGGAGCACGGAGGGAGTGAAGGAGACGCGCGGCGCCGCGAACCCAAAACGAGAACCCACCAAACATGAGGATTGGGGAAAACAACAGAGGCCGAAAGGGCGGCGGAACGGCCTCGTCGTACGCATCCTGGGCCTGCGACTCGTGGGCACGAGCCGTGGTGAACTGCCCGTAGAGGCACGCGATCTCGTTCTTCGAGAAGAGGCCTCTAAGCTGGGCCGAGTCCGTCTCGTCGCCCTTCTCCCTGTAGCAATATTTATTGTCACAGCGCAAAAGCACTAAAGAACTAGAGTGCCTTGAAACCCTTGCCCTCCACTTGTGCCTTGCCCTCACCTCAGCTCGCGATCCGCTCACAACTGGGCCAACGAATGGGCCAGTTGGACAACGAATGGGCCAGGTGAGCGAATGTGCAACGAATGGGCCAGGTGAGGGGGCGAGGAAAACAAGCAAAGAATGAGCGGGTGGCGAATGAGCCAACATGCAAACAACAAAAAAAATCGATCCTGAAGAGCTGCACCCGCGCATTGAAGTCCTTGCCCTCCGCCAGCGCGAGGATCTTGGCACGTGCAATCCTGTGGGCGAGTTTGAATGGCGAGCGGGACGGGGGGGGGTGATCCGATGAGCGCGGGCATCTTTCCGACATGGGCACAGGCATTTGGACAGATGCTGGCGCCGATCGAAACCTTGGCACATGCATTGTTTCAAACACCAACTGTCCCTTTGGCATCATGAGGCACAATTGCCGTGCTGCCCGACGCCTTGCTGTCGGACGCCTTCCCCTTCGCCTTCTTGATCGTCTTCATCCCCGCGGCAAAGGAGGCGGGCTTCTTGGATGGCTGTGAGTCGTCATGCATTGCAATCGCTGGACACATGGACACATTACAATCGTTGGACACATTGCATTGCATTGCATAGACAACGAGACACACGGACACATGGAACGTACACCCAGACACACAGAGCATACACCTAGCCACATAGAAAGCACTTGTGCACACCACATAGACACATTGAAACTACACCTGGACACATAGACACAATGCAAGTCAGCAACACGTAGAAATATACATCCTCACTGACAGTTTCGGCGCACATGACTGGAATGAAAATGTGGGATCCTTCCCCATGGTGCTGAAGATGTCGCAGCCGTCGGTCAGCCGCGCGAGTCGTAGTGGATACGATCCCCGAAATGGCAGATTGTCCCTGATACAATCTGAGATACAAACAGCATAATACTGACAGGTGTTTGATTATATTTTTGGTGATTGATCAGGCATGTTTTAGTGATCGAACGTACTATAGTGCTGATCATTCCTACTGCAATGATTGAACAGACTTCGGTCATGTCCCGTGCACACTGCTTACATAAACATACACATGCTAGTAAGTTGTGTTGTAATTTGATGTCCGTTGTACTACGCAGGCACGGTGTCCAATACATTGAAAGTGTGTTGATCTGACGTTGGTCTGACGTTAGACCAACGTCAGGGTCATATCTGACGTTGGTCTGACGTTGGTCTGACGTTAGACCGAAATGTCTGACGTCAGGCTAACGTCAGACCAACGTCAGATGTCAGTCTGACGTTGGTCTGACGTTAGACCAACGTCAGAACAGCACAGTTTACAGTATAATACACTCACACACAAATTGCACCTATGTATGGTACACATACCTATACAACCACGATTAGTTAAGTGATATGGGGCAACTTTCGTACTTACTTACGATTGCACATGGGCATGATCCACGACTGTTCGTATCTAATCAATTCGACTCGTACCTAATTAGGTAGACCACCCGTGCGCAACTGTTATCACTTAGACTTGTTTGTATATACTCAGGAGGCCTCGTGGGATATGTGGCCCGTGAGCCACGCTACTCCCATGCGTGATATAACATGACCTCTTTGGAAACATGCCACATGTTTTATCGTCCTCCTGTCGAGGATCACGCAACCTCCATGCTCTGACTTCGATGCACTCATGCCATGTTCAGGGACCACGAAAGGCGAATATGTCGAGCACCCGTCCACGACGGTCATCCCCGAACGCCGCGGCGCTCAACGATACTGCGCTGCTCATGCAGCAAACGTGCTGGCCACATCACGGGATTCCCACCATCCATCCAGCAATCATTCCTTGCTCTTCCTGTTCTCGTGCCTCCTTCCTTGACTCATGCTTCCTGACTCCCCCTCCCCCCCCATCGTCACTGCAGCCCGCGCTGCAGCCTCCAGGCTGCATGACGCAACTTATTTGAGCTGCTTAGCCCTCCAGGTCTTCGCCTGCTCCTTTGAAAATTTATGCTGGCAGGCGAGGCGCATGAGACGCGATATCAAAGCTGCGTGATCCTCCGTCTGCGGCTTCCTAATCTCGAGGAAGAGCGTCCGCTTCGACGAGCCTGGCACCTTAGAACATATATAGGACTTGTCTTTCGCGTAGCAGGCGTACATGGGCCCCAGGGTGGGGTGCTCGTTGAAGCGAATGAGCTTGGGGTCAGCGTTCACCGTCTTCGTGGCCTTGGGCTTCTTGATTTCGGCCTGGAGATATGCGCATGTTATATGTCATGTATGTGCTGGTGCTTTCATATTTCGCCATGTAACCATGACCGTATATGCGAGAATGCTGCCATGTCCGTACATGCGGGTGGTCTCCGTCACACACGCACGCACACAACCGTTATGTACCCCCCGTGCCATTGCCCATCTTTCCTCCGCCCTCGCTTCCTCATATGACCGCCTAACTCACACCCCTGCTCCCTCCCCCGCAACTGCGTCCTGGGATATCTCCTCCGTGCCCCCTCCATTCACATTCGATAGTAAAACTGCGCATCCTTCAAATGATGCTTGCATGCAGGGACGGGCTTCGCCTTCTTCGCGGCCGTAAGCAACTTCTCATCGTCCCCGTCTGAAGCAACGGGCGGGCAGGGAGTGCATGGCGTCGTCGAGCGGGGCGCGCGAGGAGTGCGGGGCGTACAGGGCGTGCAGGGCGCACGAGGCGAAGAACTCGTCGAACTGCTGTTCTTGATGGCGATCGCCAGGGCCTGGCGGGCGGAACGAGGCGATGGCAATACGGTGATGACAAAAGGCACTGACCGTATCCCAGGAGGTGCTACCCCCAGCATCCTCACACCTCTTCCCCACCCACCCCTTACTCACTATCCCTTGCTCTCCATGCCGTACTCCCCAGCCATTACTCCCTGTCCCGTACCCCCCATCCCTTTCTCCTCCCACCCACAGCGCAGGGGGGCACAATTGCCGACGAGGGTTAACACCATCACGGGCGCACATGAATTGATTTAGAGAAATCGGGGGCGGTGCTTCAGTGCTCCAGTCGCCGTCGGAGGGTGCGACCGCAGACGGGGCCGAAGAATGGACCGAAGGTGGCGGACAGTAGCGCAGCGGTAAGGTTAGAGGAGGGACCCGAACACCGATGTTGATTTGTTAATACGCCCCAGTATTGCAGTCTGCGAACTGCTCCCGCAACTTACCTTTGCGAAGAACCCAACCCCTCTTCCACGCGTGGAACACACCAACAATACCGCTCGATGCACAAGATCTCGATGGCGCGGAGTGGCGTCGATACGTGTGTGTGTGTGCGTGTGTGTGCGTGTGTGTGCGTCTGGGCGGCGTAAACCATTTGAATAAGCCTGAGCGCCACCGAAGAAGATATTCACAACTGCGGTGTTCACAATTGCACATGGTTGGGTCCTTCGCCAGGCTAATGTTTTTCTTTCTGCATTGCATAGCGCAGTGCGCCATGCGCTCCAATCTTCACAGCGAGGCTCGCCCTCCCTGTCAGGAGGACTAATCGCTCTCCCTAGGATGGTCATCCCACGGGAGAGCTCTGAATGCACACAGTGTCCCCCAAGGGTCAGGGGAAAGCAGTATCGGATCGCGCAAGTGCGGGGCGACCCCGAGGTCACGTGCGGCACGAGCAGATGAGCCGCCGTCGGGGAAAATGCCCGCTGCGCCCCTATTATACAAAATTGAAAGCGGCTGCCAACGATGCTTATCGCCATATGCGAGCGTAGTCCGACCCCCAACTCGGTGCATAAACTCCGATGTATCGACGCACAGTCCGATGCAAAGTCCGATGTATCGATGTATCGCGACACATGTCCGATGCGTCGCGCGCCGCATCACGGGGGGGCAGGCGCCGCGCCAGTGCCATGCTGCTGGTATGGCGCCGCCTGGGAGGGCGCCGCATCACCGCGGTTCGCGCGCACGGCCTGCGCTGGCGACCCGCGCGGCGCTGCCTGGGCCATAACCCCGAGCAGCTCGTTGGTCTCCGCGATGCGGTCCGCCACCAACTGCACTCGCTCTGTGAGCGTCTGCAACAGGTTGTTCGACTCCTCGATGGCCTCGTGCGTGGCATCCGTACCCACCTGCAAACCAGCGATCCCGTCGACGATTGCCTGCAGCAGCGTTTCCGTGGGCGACGGTCCTGGTGTTTGCTGGCCAGCTGCTGCTGCTGGCTGCCCTGCTGGTGCGGGCGGCGGCTGAAGCACTGGAGCTCCAGCTGCTGGAGGCGGAGGTCCATCTGGAGCCCCAGCTGCTGGAGGCTGATGTCCAGCTGGAGGTACTGGCTGGCCGCGGCCAGCTGCTGCGGGCGGCGGCTGAAGTCCTGGTGCCGCTTGCGCTAGCTGAGGCGCTGGCAGCGCCAGCTGCTGCGGAGGTGGTTGGATGTAGTTCTCGTCCGTGTGAACCTGCACGATGTGAACCCTCCCCCAGCCGCGAGTGAAAGATGCCAAATTGTTCCAGGCTCCCTCTGTCCTGTTCTTGTGTTTGACCGCCGCCAAGTGATCTGCCGTCACTGTGCTCCCATTCGTAGCGCACATAAGGCACTTCCACGAGCCCGTGGCGCGGTCCCACTGCATGTAGGGTGCGTCCACCCACGACCCGTCACTGAGCGACACCGTCTGCGGGCAAGTCCATTCGTTCTCCACGAACTGCAAGTGTGCCGCCATGACGGGCGGACGCTCGCTCTCTGCAGGGCGGTGGAAACTCCAGCTCGCCCTCTGAAGGGCCTTCGCCAAAATGGCTTTGGCTTAAATGGCTGCATTACGGAATAGGTCGCCCTAGATGGTTGCATTACGGCATTCCGTCTAATCTCGCCTCGTCCGCCGCCTCCTCATCCGCCTTCCTATCCCTCGCCCGCCCTCCTAACCCTCATCCGCGCTATGGATTCTCCCTTCTTACTCGCTCTCCTCCTCCTTCACATGCAATGCGCCGCGCCGTGGCACCCAAATGAAATTGAACGAAACGGGATTGTTTCGAGGCTGTCGACTAATGAACATGTTCTCGCCCACTACGGGCGCGACATCCTAATCCTGCGGCCGAGTTCGTACAGCGCCGTCTCAGAGAGATCGTAGGACTCATAGGCACGCACCGCGGTAGAAGGCGCGCACGCAAGGGTAGTGGGGGCAGAGCGGATCGGATCGAAGACAGCCGCTGCCCAGCGGGGACGCGCGCGAGGGGTCACGCCCCCAGACGGTGTAGGAGATGTTCCCTCAGACGGCGCGGGGGTCGCTCCCTCAGGAGCTGCTGCCTCAGACTGCGTAGGAGATGCTCCCTCAGGAGCTGCTGCCTCAGACGGCGTAAAAGGTGCTGCCATCGACGATGTCGGAGCTGCTGGCATAGACGGCGTAAGAGGTGCTGCCATCGACGACGTAGGAGCTGCTGCCATAGACGGTGTTGGAGATGCTGCCATAGACGGTGCAGGAGTTGCTGCCTCAGGCGATGAATACGGGGATCCAATGCTGCTGCTCTTGCTGGTGATGCGGCAGCGCTTGGATGCAGGCGTGTCGGGTGCGACCTCCGCGTCGGCCTCGTCGGCGGGCGTTTTCTGCGCGGCCTTGCTGGCGGCGCGCTCGGAGAGGAGGGCCCTCGCGGCCTCGCCACCTCGAGCCCTGATGGGAGAGGAGGGGCAGGAGAAGGGTGAACAGATATAGAGGTGCGAAGAGAAAGCGACTGAGGGGGAAGGCGAGACATATACGCATACGTACACATATTTATACACATGTACATGTTCACATGTGTTTATGTATTTGTACACTTCTATGCCGATAAAGAAGGATATATGAGATCTAGGTGTGCATCCAATTATCGATGGACAGAAGAGCGAGCATGAGTACAATTTAGGGGGTGAATATAAGGACTATGGGGGATACATCTATCTATAAATACATATGTACATATCCTGGATATAATCATCCTTCATCGAAGTCTCCTCATCGACCACCTCCGCGGTCGAGGATGAGACTTCGATTCCTCAGTCTCCTCCTCGACCACGGGGCGGTTGAGGAGGAGACTGAGTAATTAAAGGAGGAGGACGAGGAGGAGAAGGAGGAGGGGGAGCCTGGCCGAGGCCTCGAAATATGCTCTAATGCCACCAGGGGGTGGCACGTCCTCGAAGGCTGCCTTCACCACGTTCGCCACGTCGGCCACGAAGTTGTCCGTAGACTTGTACACGGGGTAGGTCGTCGATGAGGGGGTGTCACCCGACAGGCTCTTGATGTGGATCGTGCTGCTGAATATGTCCATCCTCAGCTGGCCGTTCTTCGTGGCGGGGATCGACACAGAGATCTTCTGTTTGAGCGCCAGCTTGCTCAAGGCAACGTAGTAGTGGTTCTTCTGGGCGTAGCTGACTGGCCTATAGGCCCATGCTTGGTGACCGCCGCGCAGCCACACGATCGCGCCGATGGTGGCCAAGCGCTGGATCCGGATGTTCTCCTTGACGACCTTGGGAGACTCCGTGTTGCCCAGGGGGAGGTTCGCGCTGCGCTCGAAGCCAACCTGGTCCCAAGGCATCCACGTGTCCTCAGGGAGCTCGAACCAAGCGAAGCCCCCCCTCCGCAGGCGCAAGCTGAGCCCCATCAGGCGCTGGTAGCCGCACTCCTCCGTGACGTCCCACTCGTGCGTGAGGGTCTCGGCGCACGTCAAAGAGGGCCCACTGGTGGCCTCGCAGTGCGTTGCCAAGGCCCACTGCGAATCGTTCACGAACTCGATCAGGGCCAAGTTTGTCATGCAGGGCCCGCGGGCGGTCTCGAAGAGCGATGGGGGGCACGGCATCGCGAACTCCACGAACATCCTCAACACATTGCACGGAGCAAGGCTCTTAAAGAGCGTCCATCGCTCTGGAATGAAGAATTCGCTCGCCAGGGAGTGCAGTTCGGAAGCCGATGCTGTCAGCGCGGCGTGCGCATACGCCGAGGTCATCCTCTGGACACCTCTACAATAGAATCCCCACCTTAAGCCCAAATGGCTACGGCGGGGGATGAGGTGAGGGGGGAAAGGCGGAGGAAGGGGGGAAGGGGGAGAGGGGCACAATATGCACCAAGAGAGCCCATGCCAAGGCTCAAACAAAACACAACGCAGGCACAGGAGAGCTTCAAGATGAAGACCCTCTTGTGCTGTTTTTTGTTATGCCGTTTCCTGGGCTCTTTCAGGCAATTGTGCAGCCCTGCTCGGAGAATGATAAGAGCCATCAAACCACAGCAATCAAGAACGAGGACAGAGGGGGAAAGGGTGGAGGCGAC